CATTTCACGTCATGTTTTAATATCAGGCCGCGCAACGCGCAGGTGATATACTAGTTAATTGAATCAAATGTATGCGGTATGTGAAAAATTAAAAATATGTGAAATATTAAAGCAGCACGGAAGATATATAATTTAATGAGGTTGAAAAGGAAATTTACGGAAATATGAAGTACACTTTTACATTAGTATCAGTTAGTGTGAGGGGGTTAATTGAAAATTACTGTCGCATATGCATTGTCGTGCCTATAAGAGCAATGTTTGATTCTATTTGATACATTAGGCCAACAAAGAGCAATGCCTTTTTTTCTAATTATTGCAAGGAAAGATGGTGACCGGTGGAAAGGAAAACAACTATTTGAACCTCACGGTTTTGTTATGGAGTTATCGGATGACTCGACTTATTGAGTCATTTATTGTTATTCACAAATAATGTATTGACACTTATCCTGCAATAAATGTACATTAAACATGTTTCAGTACATAAAATTATGGATGACTCCATAAAAGAGTCATCTGATGTCTCTATATAATTACTGTTGAACCTCAATAATAGTCACACTAATTCTGTATAACAGAGCATACACAATATTTGGCTCTATTTAAAAAAAAAATAAAATTACAAATCATAATGAAAATAAATCCATCTATTAAAAAAAAAGCAAGTGAAAGTAGATTTAATTTATTGCTAGTCTATTTGAGAATTGAGATACTAGTAGAAATTTGGTTTGTTTGATATTTGCTATTTTTACTTGATTTTATCTTTTATCATTCAAGATCTTTTAATGCATTCACAATGTTTGTGAATGTTTTAAGACTAATTTCAGGGCAGTAAATAGCCTTAAATTTAAAATTACATAGACAATATCAAGTAAAAAGAGTCAAAATAATTCAATACAAAAATACAATTAGTTTTTTTACTAATCATATCAGCTAGATCTTGTTCATGTTCAACTGCATTGCCAAATCAAACGTCTACACGAAAATGTTACAGTCCCGTTATGAAATCATTCTGACGGGATTTGTAATCGTTAGATCATCATGTAATCGTCGTTGATAGTTGATCTAATAGTTACAAAGTCTGATGGAATAGTTCCGTAACGGAACCATAGAACCTCCCATGTCTACATATAGAAGAGATTAATCAAAACAATTGTGTGTTTCCTTTGTCCCACACTCTCTTCGAATTAGCTATTTTATACCTCACATTGTTAATCAAAACAAAACAATTAAACTTTTTTGCATTATCATAAATCCTCTATATATATTAATTCCGAATGCGCTGAGCCTACGTGAATGTTTCTGGTGTTTCGGAATCCTACTTGGCAAAGAATTATACTTCGTAATTAGGTTTGGACAAATAATATTGATATATTAATAATTAATAATCTATGTTCGGACATTCCATAAATATTATTTAACTAACTTAGGTATTTTAATATAACTTTTACTAATATAACCTTTTAATTCTTTGTAATTTTACATAGTGAAATACTAAGTGACTAATATATCCCCGACTTTTGATTTGTTTCCTTCAATTAGCTATTGAATTGTAAATATATTTTAAAAGTTAATAACTTTTGTCTTCTTATCGGTTTTACATATATAATATATCGAATTAATTATCTTTTGATGATCTTCGATTTGACATCAATATTGTATATATGAAATAAAATAAATCATATTTATCTTTATAATAATAAATAATAATAATATTTATTAAAATTCATTAAAAATAAAATTATTTCTCAATTGATATATTTATGTTAAAATGTAGTTATATGTTGTAAGTCAAAAAATATTATAATATAACACAAGTAAATCGCACAAATAAAAAAGTGTCATACTAAATATATAATAATATATATATTTTTATAAAAGGTATTGAAATTTTCAAGTACTTTTTCTCATTAATTTTAGATTTTAATAAAAAATTAGCAAATACCCGTGTAATACACGAGTATTGTACTAGTAAGCATTAATAATAAAGATGCAAGAGAAGTATAGAATTACAAACAAGCGCACATACTTTTCAGCTTTTCCATCACATGTACATTTGTACACTAGCATATATACAAATCCAACAAATACTTGTTAGGAAGAACAAACCCAAAGTTTATTGATTGATCAAATTTCCTAGGCTTATACTTAGTCCTCATCCTCCTCCAAAGTTTATTGATTGAGTAAATTTCCTAGGCTTATGCTTAGTCCTCATCTTCCTCCAAAGTTTAATGATTGATTAAATTTCCTAGGCTTTATATTTAGTCTCGTCTTCCTCCTTCTTTTGCAACTCTTTCATGGTCGTCCTCCATTTAAAGAACGTGCCGAACAACGCCTCCATATTCTCCAAGCTTCTCCCTCTCGTCTCCGGCAACAACGTGAAGAAGAAGATCCAAGTAACGGTCGCGATTCCACTAAACAAGAAGAAAGCACCTCCTATGGTGATCGCGTTATAGAGCGATATGAACGTCATCAATATGATACCACTCGTGGCTCGGTTCATCGCCACTCCCATGCCACACCCTTGAGCCCTGAGTTGAAGCGGGAAAATTTCCGAGCTATAGACCCATGCAATCGGGCCCATACCCATCGAGAAAAACGCAACCGACGTGTACGTCATGAGCACGCATATCACAACAACCCACCCCAAATTTTCTGAGCCGTACCGGTCTATCGCGGTCAACCCGCTCGCCAGGGTTAGCATCGACAGCGCAAGACCACCGCAACTCGTGAGGAGGAGCACGCGCCGCCCGATTTTGTCAACCATGAAGGTGGTGATGAGGATGAAGACGGTCTTGCAAACCCCGACAGCGATAGTGGCGAGTAGCTTCTTCTCGTCGCTCACAATTCCCGCCTTCTCGTAGATCCTCGGGCTATACATGACGACTGCGTCGATTCCGCTCGCCTGTTGGAAAAATTGTAGGCCGAGGGCCGCGATGGTGATGTGGAGCACGGGTCGGGTCGGGTGGACGAAGAATTGTTTCCACACGTTTTCGCCCTTTCGGCCCGTGCATTTGGGTACCTCGACGATGTCACCGTCGAGGTCGTGCGGGAGGCCGGCGGCCTCTTTGATGTCGGCAAGGCGGAGTTGGGCTTCTTCGGGCGAGTCGGACGTGCGCTCCAACACTTTCTTGGCTTCACCGAGACGGCCTTGCATGACAAGCCAACGAGGAGACTCAGGCATGATAATCACGCCGAGACCGATGAAGATTGGGGGTATGGCGCCGACTCCAAGCATCATTCGCCATCCCAACCTCAACGGAAGGCCGGCAAACGCGTAATTCGATAGATATCCCAACAGAACACCTATATTGATAAAGAGATTATGAACTTCGACGAGTTTTCGAGATAGTTTTTTATTTTTTTATGGATAAAAGTGAAGATAATGCTGTAAAATTAAACGAGTCGGGATCGACTAGGCTCAGCTCGGCTCATTAAAGTTGGAGTTCGGTTCGACTCATTTATTTTGAACTCGTTTAAATATCGTTTGGTTAACAAGTCCAGCTCAGGTCATTAATTCTCGAAAAGAGCATTTTGATATAATTTTCTATGGTTCGACTCGTTAGAACTCAAGATTGACTCGAACTCGGTTCGTTATGAGTGGTAAACGAGCCAAGCTCGAGCTCAATTTCAGCCTCGTTTATGTAACAAGTTGAGCTCATCTTATCTCGTTAAGGGCTCGAGCTCGAGCTCGACTTGACTAGTTTACAGCCTAAGTCCAAAATCTAGACGTACATGAAACGAAGGAGAAATAATAATGGGTTACCGAAATTGATGAAGACCTCCGGGAAAGAAGTGAGAAAGCCACGGGACGACGCAGGCGCCACCTCAGCAGCATAAACCGGGGCTATCATGAGGGCGTACCCTACACCTAGACCGGCTATGAATCTACCCGCCATCAGCAACACGTAGCTGTTGGCGAACCCCATGACGGCAGCTCCCACGAAGAAGACCACCGATGCCACCACGATGGTGAACCGTCGGCCGAGCCAGTCAGATGTTTTTCCAGCCATTGCGGACCCGAGCAACGAGTAGATGTTGATGGTCCCCACGAGGATCTCGATTTGCACGTCCGTTATTTTCAAATCCCGTTTTATGTACAATGTGGCCCCACTCATAACCCCGGTATCTGCAATTATTTGTTTCGAAAACAACGATTAATCAAAATTTACAATGCGCCTAGTCAGCCTAAGTGTGAATAACTTCGCAACCGATTTTTAGAACAGAGATTTGGATACACTAAAATTCTGAAAAAAAATGAAAAAAAAGAGTATGAAGATATATAATTACCATATCCGAGAAGGATCGACGTCATGGAGGCCATGACGGATATGAGCATTGCGTACATGTTCTTTTTGGGCCTTTTCTCCACGACCGCCATTTGCTCCGCCATTGTTGAACTTGATTCGGAAGTGGAGAAGATGAGATAGGAGGATCAAATAAAAAAGAAAAAGAAAAAAGATTTATACAGTATTTTTCATGGAAAAGCTTGCACGAGTCACCTTATATAAATGGTTAGGACAAGTTAATTCAAACGGATCTCAACCAGATACATAATTACTAGAAACATTGCCGATGATTGAGGAGTATCATTGGTTTCATTTTTGTTTCTTGACAATGGTATGACTGGTTTATAATTAAATGAAGATTTTACTACCAAAAAAAAAAAAAATGGTCATATCTAATTGAAAATTTCAATAGTAATATATTTCAATGAAAATTTAAGCG